CACAATTGCACTCATATCACATGCTAGCAAGGTCATGCTCAAGAGCCTACAAGCTAGGCTTCAACAGTATGTGGATAGAGAACTGCCAGAAGTACAAGCTGGGTTTCGAAGAGGTAGAGGAACTAAAGATAAAATTGCCAACATTCACTGGATTATGGAGAAAGCAAGTGAGTACCAGAAAAACATCTACTTCTGCTTCATTGACTATGACTGTGTGGATCACAACAAACTATGTCAGGTCCTTAAAGAGATGGGAGTACCAGACCACCTCACAGGTCTCTTGAGAAACCTGTATAAGGGTCAAGAAGCGACAGTTAGAACTAGATATGGAACAACTGATTGGTTTAGCAAAGGAAAACGAGTACGACAAGGATGTATATTGTCACCTTGCTTATTTAATTTATATGCAGAGTACATCATGTGAAATGCTGGCCTGGATGAATCACAAGCGGGAACCTGTGTTGCCTTTAGAGTAGAGTGAGGACTGGGTTCCATGCAAATTTGGCACTGTTATCTTCATAAACAGCTGCTCAGGACCCTCAAATAGATTCCTCATTGAAATTAAAGGCCCCATAATGCCGGAACTGGACCTCCCCCCCCCACAAAAAACACACAACAGTGACTAGAAAACTAGACTGGTAAGATCCTACCCAAAATTAAGCAATTACAGTAAAATAATTCCCATTGCCCTTGAATCCCGGTTCCTAAATTCTTCTCAGTACACACCCCTAAAACATATATATTTTCTGGGATATATTTGTTGCTTAAATGTAATTAGTTTTGGCCACAATTAATCTGTATGTAATGATAATACATTTAGGTGGATATCCGTGTTGGTCTGAAGCAATAGAACAAAGTTTGAGTCCAGGGGCACCTTTAAGAGCAACGTTCCATTTTGACTGTATGAGACTGTTTATATACAGATCATTACATTTCCTTCTGTTTATTATGAAATTTGTGTTACAAATGTTTTTTTCCTACCTTTCAGAGGGCAAAAATATCCCCCCCCCCCCCCCCCCCCCCCCCCCCCCCCCCCCCCCCCCCCCCCCCCCCCCCGGTAGCACTGGGTATATTTGCAATATCGCTTACAGAAAGCTAAGGAAGTTATACCTTTAAATTTCATAAATATGCATATAGCACAATTTTATATGCTGTGTTATAAATGATGTATTATATGTTGCTAAAGCAGTAAAATGGGATTAGATTTGATAAGGAAGTATTGCATGTATTTCAATTTCTCCCCGAATACCTGGGTTTTTTAATTGGGAAAAAAAAGCCTTCAAAATTTCCTGACATTGTTTATTGCAGTTTCAAAGTATCCCTTCTATGAAGCAAAAGCACTTCTGTCCACACAAGGAACCCCGTGATTTCCATCTGGAGCTATAGCCTTCTATGCTGCATTCCATAGTATTCCCGAGGGTGCCCCCCCAAAAAAAATCAGGAACAGCCTTTGAGGAAGAACACAAGATACAAGAGGTTCCAAAAGCAGAGCTCTGTTTTAAGTCTCTAGATCCAATCTATTAATAAGAATACACTGATTCCCCTGGAGCTGTGAACACAGAAGGCAGTGAAACACTTCTGTGTTTTTAAATTATCACCTTCCCTACACCTTTACTCAGCCTAACAGCCTTGCTATGAATCTTTTTTCAGCTGGGAAAGGTCCAGTGAAATACCACAGAGTTCTGGGTAACAAATACTTGGAATTAAGGATAGATGATAGTTCTAATATGTCCATTTCCAAGGTATTTTTTTCAGTGCCAAGACTGAAATATGTATTTAGAGTTTTACCAGAGAACTTAAAATATTTATCTTCTCCTCCTTTCTCCTGACTCTGGACTCAAGGCAGTAACAAAAGGAATATAAAACTCAATAAAACTGTATGATACCACATAATGATAAACATTTATAATACAATAAATAAAATAAATTAAAATCACCATTTAAAACCCCCCTGTGCACAGCTGGAAAATATATTCTCTTGGGACTTAGTCAGGTTGTATATAAGAACTATCTGGATTGAATAAAATATATTAGACAAAAGTAAAGTACATGTAATTTGCCAAATTAGCCTGTAGGAGGAGTGTTATCTTTAAAAAACTGATGTTCTATGAATTATTACAATACATGCCATACGCCCAATTTTACCTTATAAAAAACAATTAGTTATTTAAACTAGGCATTACACGAGTGTTTCCTCCCTTGGAATACCAGAAAATTTACAGCTTATAGATTGATGAATTTATATCCAGCTGTAAGAGGAAAATACAACCCTAGCTGGAAGTCACTTTGCTTCTCTAAGGCTACACCCTTAGAAACAAAACTAGACTCAGGTTCAAAGCATCCTTATATGTGCAAGGTACAGGTGAGTGTAGGGAGAGAGAGAGAGAGAGAGAGAGAGAGAGAGAGAGAGAGAGAGAGAGAGAGAGAGATTATTTCTCTCCCCTTATGCTGCATCCCCTGGCACTCTTGAGGCAGAATCCCCGACTTTCAGCAGCAGATTTTTCAGTAGCGGGTAAAGAAGGAATGTTCTGAAAATTGCCAACATCACAAGGAATACCAATCATGGCCCCTTTGGATCCCAGCCTATGATCTTTCACTAGAAGTCCAAACTAAAGTTTTATGACTGCTGTGATGCTCCAAGCTTACTGAGCAACTGAAGCAAAACCTATCTTCTTGAAAAAGAAGAAAGACTCCCTTGGTAGCTTACTGATATCCATGAAATGCAGCTTCTGAGGGACAGAACCCAAAGCACCCGCCCCCTTTGACATGCAACTGGGCCGTGCCCTCACAACATCAATCGTCTATTCACCAACCAAAGGGAGGAAGAGATACTGTACAAGACAAGGGTCAGATCCTTTCCATGTGGGGAAAAATTAGTACATATTAATACAATAGTACTTCAGTAATTAATAACAACGGTGAAAGGTATTTTCACAGAAAGAATGCATGAAAAGATGTAATAAAAACTGCATGTTTCTGTGAAGTAATTATTAACATGTACAAATGGCACACCTAAAACAGAAAACAGGATCAGCTTCAAAAGTGCTTACATTGTGATTTGCAAAACATCTTACCTATAAGGTCAGTTCTGATGTCAGCGAGCTTAAAGAGAGGTGCAACTCGATCATAATAAATGCGCGCAGCCTCTCGTTTATGGCTATTTGGATTGACAAACACTTTTAATGACTTTGGCCTGTTTGAAAAACCTAAAAGTAAATAAAACACCAAATTAAGGTTTTTAGAGGAAAGTGTAATTGCGTCAAACATCTTTAAGAGACAGCCTGAACAATAAGGGGGGGGGGAATCTACTTGTAACGCAATCAGATATGTATCTGTTCTGAAAATAGGAACAACCAGGCCAGGCAATCTGTATCCTCCTTTCAGAATGAGGACATTCATTACCTAGATTTGATACCTCCGTAATCCTGGAAGAACTGAAGCACTGACTTGCTTGTGCGTCTACAGCTAAGAATAACCAGTACAGATGAGTCAGTCACCATCATCAAGAGCATTATGTGTTAGCTCTAAAGAAAAGAGGTTTCAGGTCAGGGTTCAGACCTGAAATAGGGTAGGAGAAAAGGCAGAAAATATTCCCCAGAGATTTTAAAGGGAAATGCCTCTCAGCAAGGATTTGATAATAGTACTCCTTCACAGTTGTTGCTGTGATCTGATACTATAATTTACAGGATCTGCAGATTATGCATCATGCCACATAGAAGGAGCAGGTGCAAAAAAACTGCACTTGATTAAAGGATCATGAAAAAGGGATATAAGAGGGGGAAAATAAAAGCTAACACTCTATATACACATAAACACACACACTTCTCTACACTATATTTTAATCAATGATATAGGTTTGCCAGGAAACTTTTTTGATTTAAGTTTAAATAAATAATTTAAATATTTAAATAATCTTAGCAAAAGAAGGCAAATACACCATATACAAGCTTGGATTTTGTAAAAGCACAGAGGTTCATCCTGGCTTCATATCCCACATTTAATCCAGCTAAGATGATTGATTTGCAGCACAAGAGCCCTGACAACTATAGATAAACAGACTATATTTACAGATGTGGGTCAGAAATTTACCCCGTATTTTAATATGTTGAAGTATATAAATTTCACAAAATAAATAAACATACACCTTTATCTCCAAGTTACCAGATTTTTTTACCTAAAACAAATCTGCTTACACTAGATGAGGCTAAACATGAAAAGTATACTTCTACAGTGCTTGCTTTCACTTAAACTGTCCTACAGATATATTTAGAATCATAGAGTTGGAAGGGACCTCCAGGGTCATCTAGTTTAACCCCCTGTAAAATGCAGGAAATTCACAAATACCTTCCCCCCACACCCCCAGTGACCCCTGTTCCATGCCCAGAAAATGACAAAAAACCTCCATGATCTTCGGCCAAACTGGCCTAGAGAAAATGGGCATGTAAGAAAGGGCCACAAGAACTAAGCACTGATGCAACCTTTCCTGCCCTCCCTTCTATGATCTTCCTAAATTCTCAGAATCAGCATTGCTGTTAGATGACCATCTAGGTAGAGAGGCATCCCAGGGCGGTCTGCTGCAAGTTTGAGGATTCTAGCTTGCGGAGGAGGGCATTTGACACTCCCCCCCCTTTGCACATTGGGCCCAAGAGATCTTTTCCCTGTTCCCAAAAGCCAATCTGCACACAACATGGAAGGCAGGCAGATAGGCATCCCGGGGAGGCCCTCTGTGAGTTTGATGCCTGTAGCTTGCAAGGGGTCTGTTCGACCCACTCCTGAATCTACGGCTGTGATTTCCCCAGAGAGCACTTTCCTGGGGGCACCTGCTTTGGGTGGTTGTAACTTGGCCCACTTAAATCCAATCTTCACCAAATTTGGAGGACAGGTAGAAGAAAGTCGACCGGAGACTAGCTGTGAGTTTGGTGTCTCTAGCACATGGGGGGGGGGGCTCCTGTTCTATAGCGTCCTGAAGTCATGAATCACACAAACAGGTCCGTTAAACAAAAAGGTCTGTGAAAATTCATGGTCTGTGAAACTCATGGACCTATACAAACCTCCATTTTTCAGGTCTGTGCCCATCCCTACTCACTAACAGCTGAACTGTCCAACAACAAAAAATGAGTCCCTGCTCACAGCTGGTGAACAAAATGTAAACCAGACTGATAAGTACCACTAGTCAAAATCAACATGTGAATTGTGTTCATAAACAGACTGGAAGCCAATGTAGATCTCGCCAGACAGGGGTACTATAATCACTCTTTTGTATCCCTATCAGTACCCTCGCTGCAACAACCTGGACCAGTTGAAATTTTTATGTAAGTATTGAAAGGCAAATACCATTAAGCATGCCCTACATACTTGATTTTACCAGAGTGTGGATAACCAAGGTTATTCTATTAGAAAGGGGGCACAGTCAAAGCTGAGCCACAAAGGCCACTTGGGCATCCAACAATATAGCCAGATCTATAGGCTCCGCCAAGCTACAGCCACTTTGGTGTAGTGATTACGAGTGGCAGACTCTAATCTGGAGAACCAGGTTTGATTCCCCAGTCCTCTACATAAAGCCAGCCGCATGACCTTGGAACAGCCACAATTCTCTCAGAGCTCTCTCAGCCCCAACTATCTCACAGGATGTCTGTTGTGGGGAGAGGAAGGGAAGGAGATTGTAAGCCGCTCTGAGATTCCTTCAGATAGTGAAAAGCGGGGTATAAAAACCAACTCTTCTTCCTTTGAGAAGAGTACAGCCACTGACAAAACTAATCTAACATCACTTCCCTAGCCCTGAGAGTTTCTAACCAGCACCTTCTTCATCTTGTTGGTCTGTATTGAGCTTCAGTTTACTAGCTCTAAACCAACCCATTACTGCCTCCAGACATCTGTTCAGCACACCCACCACATCAGTTTACTGCCGAAAAGGAGAAATAGAGCTAGGTCTCAACAATTTATTTATTAGATTTTTTTCCCCCCATCACCATTCATCCAAAGGGTTCTGCGGCAACTTACAACATTAAAACAGTATACGTTAAAAACAGCATAAAAGCAGATAATAAATATAACAATAACATAAAAAAGTTAAAACTATTAAAATATGTGGCTAGCATCTTTACAGTCCAAAGGCCAACCTAGTGGGGCTGAGAGAGCTCTGAGAGAACTGTTCTTGAGAGAACAGCTCTGAGAGAACCGTGACTGACCCAAGGTCACCAGTTCGCTGCATGAGGAAGAGTGGGGAATCAAACCCAGTGCTCCCGATTAGAGTCTGCTGCTCTTAATGTATGTCTAAAGTATATACAATGTCTAAAGTATATACCAGATCCCTTCTAAAGGAAATGGAAGCATGGAATGAAAACAATTAAGATTTTGTGCAAGACATGCTAGTTTTAGAACAGCATGGTTAGTTTTTGTCTTAAATCACATCACCACTAAACATGCTCAAGCCCCAAAAAGGAATCACAGATCTTAAGGCTATTTTTGACACTGTTAACTGTGACTATGGTATAAATGGCGGAAATACCATGATGTCTTTCTTTTGAATTTTGATCAAGATCATTAATACTGTCAAGTCTCTGAAGATGGACACCTTGCTGATAACATTCCAGCTACTTTTATTTAATTTCTGAATTAACCTGGTTCCTTAAATTCACCCATCAGCATATTTTTCAGTTGCTATTCAGTGGTATATTCTTTTACCATTGTACCTAACACTGTGATTCTTAAGACTTCAGATTGCATCCAGCCGCTCTCTGACATGCAACTTCCTGGCCGCTATCTGACAGCCAAAATAATTTGCCCACCTAACACAAAGGTGACCAGAGTCAGAACAGAGCCAGAGAGTGGAAGAGGGAGAAGGAGGAAATGCTGCCAGCGCAATGTCTTGACCACTTCCATGCCATCTGTAGAAGGGCCTGAGGTGGCCCTTGGGAAGCAGCTTTCAGACTCCGCTCCCATCCCTGGCCACTGAGGGGAGCCCCTGAACTACTGATCTAGGAGAATGAGAGGGACTAGTGTCCTCAGCAGCAAAGGAAATGATGGGGCTCACTCTACGCTGAGAGAGTGAAAACACCACAAATACTGACAAAACCTTCTGTTGGGAGCAGGCTAGAAATTAAAAACATTATAAGAGATGCACTCTGGTCTTTTCCCAATCCAATCCAAATACTTTTATTGGCATAAAAAGAAAGAAGGTGCAACATGGACAATTTACAGATAATTTCAGTTATAAAAGCCTGCTCTTTTTCAGAAGTTTCTGCATCTAGTTTTTGTGGGGTAAAGGGCACAAGAGAGGATGGTCAGTTTTGATTATAACAGGTGTAATAAAGTTATCAAAGTGTGAATGAAAAATCCTGAGCACTGAAACTATTAGTGCCACCAACCATGAACCTCTTTAACTTTTGTCACAAGTCTTCGTGGTATCTCTTCCATCTACCAACCAGCAGAAAACTGTGCATTAGTTTGCCTGGTAAATATTACTAGCAATAAGACTCTTGAACACTTGTTGACACACCAGCCTGAACTAGTCATTTCAAAGTGTCAGCAATTTGAAGAGAGTTTAAACAGCATTTTGTCCAGTTTGTCGTAAATTCAATATTATCTTCTCATATTATTAAAAATGGCATCTCCCCGAATCGAACAAGAAATTGTTTAAATGCAAATTACATATTCGTTTCAAATACAGTGAAGAAGAATGCACAGGAACTGCACAAATCTAAACATGAGTTTTGCAGTTCGGCAACACTAATACCTAAGTGAAACAGATTTATAAAACAACTGAGGCACACATTATGCCCTCCTGACACATTGTGCCACACACCAGAGAAGATCTTTGCAGGACTCAATGCAAGCCTTTCCATCCCTCCCTGCTGTGGTTAACGTGTCAGTGACTAGGATCTGTGAGACCTGGGTTCACACCCCCATTCTGCCATGGAAGCGTGCTGATGAACCAGAGCCAATCACACTCTCATTCTTGCCTACCTCACAGGTTGTTGTGAGGATAAAATGGAAGCTGGAATTCTGTAAGTGACTTTGGGGGCCCCTGGGGAGAAAGATATAACTGAAATAAATAAAATAAATATATCTCAGCTCAGTCTACATGACAAAAACCCACCCTATATTTTAATTACTGTTTTCCTGTGGTTTAAAATACGTATTACAGTTTTTGTTGTGTATTTAGTTTGGTTTATGTTTGTTTTCACTGCCCTAATGGCCCTCGTGGGGCAGGAAGGTGAAGTATACGGTTTGTAAATAAAATATAAATAGATAAAACACCCTTGGCAACTTCCTGGGAGACCTGTATAGAAGATGGAAAGATTCAACCACCTCACTAAGGTCCAAGTGGCTTGGTCAGTTCTTCAAGCCAAATTAATTAGATGAGAAGAAATGGGCTTCTGGGTCACACTACAGGAGATGTGTATGGGTCTCCCATACATGTGAAGACCAAGTGCATGACAGTCCATTTAGCCATATGGGTTCCTGGGCACTGGCTGATGCATGACAGAGAATGAAAGTGCTCTATTAAATCCTGTTGGGATCCTCTCCTGTCTATGCAACTCTGAATGGGAAGGGATCGATCACACCATTTTTTAAAGTATTAACGTTTAGATTAAATCTTTATGAACTAAAGAAAACAGTGCCAAGTCTTTAGTTTAAAAAGTGCTATTATAAAGTAAATACATTATGTCAGTGTTTAGCATGGGGGAGGCAGTGTAACACCTGTATAACTGCATGGGATCGAAAAATTTGCACAAAGGGAGCAACCAGGACTACGGCACAAGTTTCTACCAACTAGAGGGAAAGTTTTCAGGAAAATATTTAAAAATTACACAAATTAAATTTGGGTTAACAATTTTTTTAAAATGTAAACAGTGATAACATGTACATGTAAAGTCATCAAAGAAAAGATTTTGGTGACATCTTATACTGGATGAAAAACTGGTGGCAACAACCCCCAGGAGCAGGAAAACAAGGAAGTGGAAAGAAGGGGGAAAGGTCGGTGAGCATATACTGCATGGGGAGGTCAGTGAGCCAAGCAGGAAGTCTGGACACGTATGTAAGCAGCCAGGAAAAGGAAGAACCAACTGGGTGAGAACAGAAGTAAGGCAGAAAGACCAGGTAGGCAGGTAAGATGGTAGGAAATGACTTTCAGAAACAGTAAATAAAATCTCAAACATACCCTAATCCATTTAAATACTTTCCTTGCGTCAACATTTGGATTTCCCCTAGGTATTCTTTTAGTAATCAACTTTTCTTTATATTATTAAAGAACCTTATATGATAATAAACTTGGAAATCAAAGTTGAATTGTTTCAGCACTCATTACCATCACATGTAAGACTTTGCTGTAATTGGAAGCTATATTTTATTGCATTGTTGATTTGTCGCTTCCTTCCTGCACTGAAACAGCAGTCTACAACAGAATAGCCAACTGTTCCTCTGGTAGTAACAAATGTGCTAATATGCACTAGTTTAAACTTGATCTATCAGTGAATCAATGAACCATGAAAGGTAGGGGTTAATCAGGGTGTTCTGAAAACAAAGGCTCACAGGGCAGCAGAGACGCCACCCTCAGACACACATCTGTGCTGTTTTCAGCGTTTAGTTTTATGGCAGCAGGGTTATGTTTATAAAAGTTAAGAGCTTGAAATGATGTCATGGTCATATATGTTTATTAATATTTTATACAACAAGCAATAAGAAAATTGCTGCATAGATGCAGAAGTAACAATGTGAATAAACATTTTTCATACTAACTAGAGATATACCACTGTTAATGCTACAGTGTTAATGTATAACATTAATGACATAATTAAACCTTCACGCATGAAGCTTCAGACATCCACATTAAAACCTTGTTTGTGAAACACGTTGTGAAGAAGTAGTGTATAGAACACATCTGTTCTCTCAACAGCTCTATCTTATCCTGAACACAAGGTGCTCAGTTACTCACTTCTAAAGTCAAATAAAAATTTAGATTCTACAATGCAAATTCAAATTTAAAAATCACCCATCTCCCAAAGATGGGCAAAATTCTGTAATTTTTGCAAAAGTCATCCTAAAATTATTGTGTAATCAGAATAAAATATGACTCAGTTAACTTAGTCTGCTTTTGATGTTTTTACCTTTTGTAAAAATAATATTAATTTACAGTATTCTTTTTGACTACATCATTAAAATAAATGGGCTTAAATCTTCCTGTTTAAAAGTTCTGAAACTTCAAAATCAGACTTGGTGATGAGCATTACTTCAAGCATGAGTGCATAATACAGCAAATCAAGTTCAATGTGACCATTGCTGGTACTTTGATGCCTGCCCTCATGAAAACTGAAGCAAATACAACTTCTCTTGTCTTCTTAAAAATGTGGTCTTATTCACTTTACACCATATTACTACTGGGACACTGAAAAATGCACTCAATTGAATCTAAAGAGAACCCTTCAAAGGAGGAAAGAGCTATAGAGACACAACAGAGCAAGTCACATCAGGTTTCGTGCTCTTTTTCAAAAAGAAATATTGTTCTAACTCTCAACAAAGGTTTTTGAAGCTATCTTCAACAGAATATTCAACTTCAGTTAGCTCATCTCCATTTTTTAAATTGCTGGCCTTTGATGGAAAACCAAAGTTTATTCCCAGATGATCACATATATGTAATATGTAATAAATCCCAATTAAATAAATAAATAAATAAATAAAAAATATTTACTTTGGTAATTGCTTCTTTCACTTGCACTATTCAGGATGTAAGAAAAATTGTCCTTGTGAACAACTGAATTAGCCATCAATCTTTTCCTTGTATGAAGAAGAAGAAGAAGAAGAGAAGAAGAGATTGGATTTATACCCCGCCCTTCACTACCCAAAGGTGTCTCAGAGCGGCTTACAAACTCCTCTCCCTTCCTCTCCCCACAACAGACACCCTGTGAGGTGGGTGGGGCTGAGAGAACTCTGACACAAACTGCTCTTTTTCAAGGACAGCTGTGCCAGAGCTTGTGACTGACCCAAGGTCACATCAGCAAGTGCAAGTGGAGGAGTGGGGAATCAAACCTGGTTCTCCCAGATTAGAGTCCGCACACTTAACCACTACACCAAACTGGTGTATGAAAGGAAGAGCTACATTTTACATGGCCTGCTGTATCTCTAATATTCTGATGTATCTTAAGATTTTACTTCACGCAGCTACTAAAAACAAAAAAGGACAGGCTGCATCCAGTATAAAAT